CGGGGGGGGGCAAACATGTAGGAAACAGACATGGGTCTTCTACGCTATTTAACTTGGAAAATAAAGACACACAAATGTAACCTTCCCTTTGTCTTAAATAGAGATGATTTTGATAATGAGTTGTCTAACTATGGTATTTAGTCTCTGTGTATGGCAGAGTTACCTGGGCATGCTCAAGCAGAAAAGCAAGATAGCACCACAGAGGTACCAGCAGGAAGAACTACTCATGGAAGATTAAGAATAAAGGAGACCCCCTATGCATTCTTGGGGCTCACTATCATAGCATTGTTGCTTCAGATAGGAAGAAACCTCAAGAGCTGTTTTCCTGCTTTGAAAGAATGATTTTCAAGAGAAATTGAGCTGAGAGCCAAAACCTTCTAGCACATGACCTAAGAATATATCAAAAGCTTAAATTCACTAGAAGTCATAAAAACAAAGGAAACTATCTCAGTGTGAAAAATGAATACTTCAGAAGACAATGGTGTGATAAAGACACAGGAATAATTCCCAACAAAATCCATTTGTTTGAACATCTGTTTGCCACCCAGCAAGAATAACTCTTCCTGATGGATTTAGCCAAGAAAAAAAAAACCAGGTAATAAAATTCAATTGATAGAAAGTTAATGAACAAACTGACATTGTTTAAATCCACCATATTTTCCTAGAAGACCACAAGGCATCTGGTGTTCATATATCAAAATTTAGAAATTTGATTTTCTTCTCATTTATATTAAGCTTTAACATTTTAGCATTGTTAATATAATGGGTTCAATCCAATCTTTCAGCTGAAAGATTAGTATTCTTTCTGGCGATGTGACAAAGTATCAATTTACAAGTTGGTTTTCCAAAAGACTTGAGATTATTCTTATATTTAAGTAGTTTCAGTTTCTAAAAGCATATCTATTAATATGCTAGAAAGACGGGGAGGGGTGTGACAGAGACTAACACCACAGAAGCACAGAAGTTGATTCTGGAGATGATGTGGAAAAAGATGGCGTATAAAGTTGATGAGATATTACTCAAAGCAAAAGAAACAATTTGGTCATTAACAAAGAAGAGAAATAAAAAAAACTGTCATCAAATATAATGAAACTAAGTAGAAGTCCAATATAAAACAAAGCAAATACAAAGAAAAGAAAAGCAATTTCAGGAAAAAGTTAAACTATCACCACACATATAAAGTGAAGGGTAGATACTTCACTAAGTCTTAGTGCATTATAAATAAATAGAAGGCAATAAAAAGGAAGAATCAATAATTATGAGTCACACACCAAAGAAACCGTCCTCAGTCACACAAAGGACATTTCCTAGAACACTGAAGAAAAAACAGAATTACGACGGGGTGGGAAACTAAAATAGAGTAAGTCCTTGAAACTCTAAAATCCACTACTTAGAGTCTAAGACTTTTTTTAGATGAGTCTTGATAACAAATTATTATATCCCTATGCAGTAGCTGGCCAGAAATTTCTTTGCAGTAGCTTGCCAGAAATTTCTTTACAGTACCACAAAGAGATGAAAATTTATTTCTTAAAAAAAATCAAATCTATCATGGGGCTGGGAAGGTGGCTCAGTGGTAGAGCGCTTGCCTTGCACGTCTGAGGCTCTGGGTTCGATTTCTCAGCACCACATAAGCAAAAAGAAAAAAAGCCGGAAGTGACACTGTGGCTCAAGTGGTAGAGCGCTAGCCTTGAGGTGAAGAACTGAGGGACAGCGCCCAGGCCCATGACGGGACCCAAAAAAAAAAATCAAATCTATCAATCCATCTCTTTATAAATATACATTACACAGTGTACATACACACATATATGCACATCAATTTCTGAATATAATGCATCTTGCTCAGTGTCACTCCTCCATCATACCCACCCCATCTATCCCAACCCAGCCCATCTCCACAAGCAACCTGGCACTGCTTTTACATGTGCACATTGAGTATCTACCCATTCACCTATCTGGCCCCCTCCTTGAGTCTCATCCCCCCTGACTAAACCACATTTCAGCTTCTTAGCCAGTCACTGCCATATTGGGTGGCACAGATTCAGAAAACAGAGAAAAAGGAAAAAACAAAAACAGAAAACTATAGGCATTCCTAAGCAATGTACGTAATTGCTAGGAAAATGTGACCAAGAACTGTGTTTTGCTGGGTGTTGGCGGCTCAGGTCTGGAATCCCTGCTACTCAAGAGTCTGTAATTTGTGGATCTTGGTTCCAAGCCAGCCAGGGCAGCAAAGTCCATGAAATTCTTAATCTCCAATTAACCACCAAAAAGCCAGGAGTAGAGGTGTAGCTCAACTGGTAGAGAGCCATGAGTGAAAAACTAAGGAACAAGTAAGGCCCTGTGTTCAAGCCCCAGGATCAGCACACCACCACCAACTCCCCCACCCCCCCCAAAAAAAAAACATTACTGAAGCATTTTTGACAATACAATACAGGCCTGTGATCCTAAATACTCAGGAGGCTCAGACCTCAGGATTGCAGTTCAAGGCCAGCTCCTAACAGGCAAGTACTGGAGATTCCAATTAACCACCAGAAAGACAGAAACGAAGCTGTAGATCAACCTGGTTGAGCACTAGCCTTGAGTATAAAAGCTCAGGGACAAGATTCCAGGCCTTGAGTTCAAACCCCAGGACTAGTGAAAAACAACAAAACACACAAATACACAGGACTCAAAATGTAACCATTTTACATTCCTACTCTGATTTACTAAAAGTTTATGATAGGGATGGTCATCTGTCTATAATCTATCTATCTATCTATCTATCTATAGAAAAGGGGTAGGGGAGAGAGAGCTATGGGACCTTTGTTTTAAGACCAGACCTAGAAATGAGTCAGGAATCTCTATATTGTTTCATCTGTACAAAAAGAACTACCTCTGAGAACCACCAGGGAAGAACTAGATTCCATCTCCATGGATGTGTAATGGACACGGGATACAGGATACCACTGCTCCTCATGGGCCTGGCCCCATTGTGCTGCTTCAAATGCCTGGACTCACAGAGTTAAGGCCTTCCCCACTGAGACTCTCATAGAAGCAGTAGAGTTGCCTTTCCTGGTATATTACTCCAAACTTTTCCATCTCAGCACTGACCCTGAAAACTGACTTTTTGTTTTCCCTTCAGACTTACTGCTGAAAATAATAGCTTCCAGCTATTGAAGCTAAGCGTTTTATGTGTATTAACTCATTTAGGCTCACAAGAACGTGTGACATATATCTATTTTACACATGAAGAAACAGAAATACAAGGTCAGGTCATTACTAAATGGTAAAGATAGGACTGAAGCCCAAAGATTCTAATTCTTCAGTGCGATCTGTATTATGCAGCACTCACAGCCTCTGTAAATCTTTAAATCCAGAGCACATTAGCCATCAGTAACTGCTCCTTGGGTTTTAGTTAACAGGTCTAAAAGTCAACAGTCCACCTCATCAGATGTTTATTTGGGGAAATGCTATTGGTTCTGTGACTACTGGAAAACTGACAACTACTGAAATTTAACTTGCAAAAGGTTACTGGATGACACTTTTCCTTAACTTGGGAAAAACTAAAGAAGTAAATGTTTGCAAGAATACATATGCCACCACTTAGCCAATAACATGGAGTTATGCACCATATAATAACATTTCCATCCGCAATTAACCACACACACAAGAGTGGTCCCCTAAGATTCAGATTCGAGACATGGTATCTACCTTGTGAAGGTATTATGATGGGCACATCTAAGATCAGGTTTCTCAAAATGCATCCTTGTCCTTATGGTATTCATGACTGTATATATAAAGAATTTATCATAGTCAATGAAGAGTAAGGAATCTTCATCACCTATTTTAAGTGTTTCACCATTACTACCTGATGTAGATCCAATCAAACAAGACCCTTGAGTTCATGTATTTACAAGGAGTAATTACAAACATTTTTTAAAAAGGCCTTCTCAGTGGAAACATACTAAAAATACATTGATTAAAAGTGCATATCACCTTACAAATTTATCACAAAGAAGCCCATTATTAGTCGTAAGATGAACGCTTCAGCAGGCACTCATGGCTCAGGCCTACAATCCTAGTTACTCAGGAGGCTGACATTTGAGGATTACAGTTCCAAGTTAGCCTGGGCTGAAAAAAAAAAAAAATCAATGGGATTCTTATCTCCAATTATTCTGCAAAGGTGCTGGCTCAAGTGTAGAGTGCTAGTTGTGAGCAAAAAAAGCTCAGGCGCTATGTTCACGCCTGAGTCACTGCACAAATATTCAAGAAACAAGAAATAAAAATTAAAGAAGGCTGCCAACAGAACTCATCCCAACTGATTCCAAGTCTAGTTTTTAAGAACAAATAAATCCTTAATCCTGCACAAGAGGCTCCAAAACCCAGGTAGCACAATCCACTAGACTTCTTCTCTAATTAGCCAGCAAAAAGCCAGGCAGAAGGAGGGCCTCAAGTGGTAGAGTGCCAGCCCACATCCAGGCAGCCGAGTCAAGGCCAGACCCTGAGCTCAAGCCACCAGAGTGGTTGCAAAGAGAAGGGACACCAACCCTTCCGGGGCAGGGCTGCAGGTGTGTGTGTAATTCACTGGCGAGGAAGTCTGCTTGGCACGCTCAGGACCCTGGGTTCGAGGCTCAGCCCCTCCCCAAACAAAACCCACAGAATCCGTTGCGTGAGTGGTGCACCTGCTGGACACCTTGCAGACAACTGAGTGGTTTTCTGGGTGGGCGCCGGCCCTGCGGGGGGGGGGCTGGAAGTGCATCCCCCCAGGCCCGGTGCGCGCTGCGGTCCGCACCACACCTCGGCCTGGCCAGGGTTCAAGGTGTCCATCAGGGAAACTGAGGCACGCGCCAGGCTGGGCCACGCACCCAGAGGCCGGGAGTTAAGGGACGCAGGACTGGAGGGCGTCCAGGTCCTTTCCACCGTGAACTCGCGGGGGGGGGGTCTTTAACCTTTCACCCCGCGGCGGGGGGGGGGTGCGCTTTAACCCTTCACCCCGCGGCGGGGCGCGCTGAGGAATACCGTACCGGCGGGAAGCAGGGCCTCCAGCGGGGTAAAGGCGAGCTCCATGACGGGGTAGGACCTGTGCGTTCAGAGAGAGAACCGACCGTCAGGTCCGGGCCCCCGCCTGACTCCGCGCCGCGGGGGCTCGAGCTCGCGCCGCCCGGGGGGACCCCTCCCTCCTACACCGCCTCCCCTCCCGCCGGCCCGCCCATCCGGGCACTGCGCCGCGCGGGCTCCCCC